CCTTTTATTAGCATAGATATACATGTATGTATGTATGTATGTATGTATGTATGTATACGGCTTGGCACAATAGGAGTTGGATAAATATAAGATCCCACTTTACCCTTGAAAAATCATCAACTTATATTGCTACTCAATCAGTGGCACATTAATTCAAAAGCATTATAATTCTTCTTGATGGAAGAACTTAACATTTTTGCAAGAAAAATGTTCTGAAAATATGCTTTCATAGCAATTAGCAACTTCAAATTATTTTTTTAAATATGTGACTTAAGGGTAGGCTTAGCAAACATCAACTAGAAATGAATAAATAAAAATATTTCTTATTTAACAAGTATTTTTATTGAGTTCTCACCATTTTGGCCAGACACTGCTGTAGGTGTTGGAACTATAATCATAATAAATAAATCAAATGAAGTCCCAGATCTCATAGAATTTATGTTCTAATCATAAACCACAAAACTAGCATTTTAGAACATTACCTATGATTTCATTTATAAGAACAACTTATAGCCAAAATGTAGTTTTACTTTTCTGATCCTATAGGCAATTATTCTTTCAGGGTCACAGACTCCTTTGAGGAACTGATGAAAATCCCAGACATAATCATCATTAAAGAATATGTATATGTTTGCAAAAATTTGGGAGTGAAACATGAACTCCTTGATTAAGAATTCCTCTCTATACCATTTGTAACAGCATAGATGGAACTGGAGAGCGTTATGCTAAGTGAAATAAGCCAGTCAAAGAAAGATAAATAACACATGATCTCATTCATTTGTGGATTATAATGAACAACATAAACTGATGAACAAAAACAGATCCAGAGATAGCGAAGCATCGATCAGACCATCAAACTTCAGAGGGAAGGTAGGGGAGGGTGGGGATAAAGGGGAGAGAGAGATCAACCAAACGACTTGTATGCATGCATATAAGCCTAACCAATGGACACAGACCACAGGGGGGTGAGAGAACGAGGGGTGGAAGGGTAATGGGGGGGAGGGGGAAGAGGAGATAAGGAGACATATGTAATACCTTAATCAATAAAGAAATTTTTAAGAAAAGGAATTTCTCCCTAGACTCTCTTCTACAGATTTTGATTTTTAAAGTAGGAGAAATTTCAATAGTTTGCATTCAAAAAGTTGAACTAAAATAAATTTAGTAAACAACTTAATAAGATTACCCTAAATTGTGAACTTTCTGAATTTATTTTAATGATTTCACTTGTTACTTATATTTCAACTCAGTTTTTTGAAATATTAACCAAAAGTGTTTTTTTTTTAATATAAGATAATTAATGAACTTTTTATAATGGTATTCCGTTATGGGCATTTACAGCAGAACAATTCTCTCTTTGATATAAAGTAGACATTTTAGGAATCTAAATGAATTTCTGATTCATTCTGACTAGCATTCTTTTCTTCAAGTTATTTTTAAAAACTAATTATAATAGTTCCCCAACTGTCATCCCCTTTGAATTTCTACCACACTTTAGTCTTTCCTATTCTGCAAATTAACTACTGGTTCCTGACACATTGTACTTCCTGGTAATATCTTCCACAAGGCACAGATCTATGTTGAGAAGCATTTAGGGAGCATATCTGTGCCTAATTCCCTGCTATCATAGGTCATGAGCTAAAATTTTAATTAAACATCTATAATTTATTTTTGTTTTGTTTTGTATTTATTATTATATTTCTGCTATTTGTTATTACAGGTCAACATTTTTCTAAGATCATGATTTTCTGAAAGAATAAAGCAATGTTTCCCAAAATAATATTCTAGGCTGCAAGTTAATTTTTATAGTAAAGAGGATTCTTTAATCCATATACCTACCTACTAATAATGAATTTATACTTATCATCTGATTTCTGCAATTATTTCACAACTACTTAACACCCAGCATCTCTTGAACCCAGAGATTTTCAACAAGTGTACTATGAAGCTTTAAAAACATGTAATACCTGACTATTTAGTCAGAGGTACCAACCTCTTTTCCAAGTAAAAAAATGACAACAGCTAACACAATGATAGTGCCCAGTATGAATGAATCAGAATTATCCTTTTTTTTAAATTGTCAAATGGGCTGCAGAATTTTAATGATTTGTTTATATGTGTCATGAGATGGAAAAGATAAAAAAATGCTGTTTTAACCTAATACATGTTTATTTTCTTATTACTAATATATTTTTATGGATTTAAGAGAGGCAGGGAGGGAGGGAGAAGGGAGGAAGGAAGAGAGAGAGGGAGGGAGGGAAGGAGGGAGAAAGAGAGAGAGAGAAAGAGAGAGAGAGAAACATCAATGACAAGAGTGAATCACTAACAGGATGGCTGCCTCCTGCATGCCCCCTACTGGGGATCCAGCCCGCAAGCCGGGCATGTGCCCTTGACCAGAATTGAACCTGGGACCTTTCAGTCCACAAGCTGATGCTCTATCCACTAAGCCAAACCAACTAGGGCTCATACGTTTCTAAGAGGCTAAAATACCAGATATTCCTTTGAATATCTCTCTCTTATGCTTCAATCATATAATATATGGTGCTGGCTCAATTTAAAATATAAAGTTCAAAAGTCCTCTCTAAAAATACTTCTGATATCCTAAATCTTTCTTTTTACCACAGCAGTTCTCTGTTCCATTAAAAAACCATGTCATTTATTTCAAACATAGCTACCATCCTCCTCATTTCATTTCTGCTATTCAAATCATTCTTCTAATCCTATCTTATCTCTGAAAATATTATTTTTTCAGCAATCATTGTACAATTCATGTGGTAATTAATCACACTCTCAATTTTGTAATATTTTTATTCTTTATCTTTTGTGTTTATACCTATATTGCAAGCTGCATTCAATTGGGGATGGGACCATGCCTTATGTTTTACAGTCTCCTCAATACATGGTAGACTTGTCAGAGTTTATCTGCTGATATTAATAGAAAGCTTATATCTAAAGATAATCTAGAATATAGCTCCTTAATTTATATAATCATATCAAAATCATACTTAGGGTAAGTTTTATATCCTGAGCATTTCTCCTCACCCTTCATGGTTGTGTTGCCTATTTATAATTACTTAAACGTGTTTTCTTTTTCTTTCTTTTTTTTTTTTAAGTTTAAAAGTCATCCTTGGTATATATTAAACAGAAATTTAGGGTTATAAAACACTTAACTCTTGTTTGGAGAAAAAGCAGCCAATTTTTTGAGGAACTAAGAAATTCAGCAAGATATAATGAAATTTTCTTTTTTTTTAAGATTACACATTCCTTTTCAAATACACAGGGAAACAGGGGTACTTAATAAATGAATCCTTAACCAACTTTAAAGGGCTTACTTCTTCTAACCACAGTGGTGGCAGCTATGTGGAAGCTATAACCCAACTGAAGAGGTAAGACTTCACTCCACTACCAATTCCCACAAATTTTTAAGTTATGGCAATGCCTTATTCTCAACTATCTGATTTAGAATTCTCTAATATATCACATGACATATCTTAATTTTAAAACTAAAGGTCCAGTGCATGAATTCGTGCACTAGTGGGGTCCCTCAGCCTGGCCTGCAGGAATGGCCAAAACTGGATCTCTGACATCCCTTGGGGGGGCCTGGATTGCAAGAGGGCACAGGCTAGGCTGAGGGACCCCACTGGTGCACATTTGGGGCTAAGGAGGGACATGGGAGGTTGGCCAGCAGGGAAGGAACTGCAGGAGGGTTTTAAGGCATGTCCAGCCTGTCTCACTCAGTCCCAATTAGCCAGGCCCCAGTACCAAGCTAACCTACTGGTCAAAGCTTCTGCCCCTGGTAGTCAGTGCATGTAATAGCGAGCGGTTGAGCGGCCTTAGTATATCATTAGCATATTATTCTTTGATTGGTTGAATGGAAGACCAGACACTTAGCATATTAGGCTTTTATTATATAGGATTAATTTTCACAGCTTTAATATAATTCTTAATATTTTGAGGTAACTGCTACAGAAGACTCAGAATCACTGCTCTAGAGTAAGAAATAAAATCTATTAATATGTAGCATCACTTATGATAAACACATTTTACAATGTATTACTTGTAAAATTTTCCTTGACAAAACACTTCTATTGTTAAGATAAATTTTATGATATTGCTATGTAATAATGAACCCTGAAAAACAATACAATTGAGATGATACATAATTTCTATTATTGGCTGCTGTCTCTCTTAAGACCTGCCAAGAAAAGCTGGAGACCTGGAAGATGAGTCTATTTTTTTCTCAAGAAGTTTCATGCCTAAGTTTGGTTATCTTAAATCTTAAAAGCATACATATTAAAAATTAAGTAATCAATTTTTAGATGTCCAGAAACTTAAAAAATCCTGTGAGAAAATATTTATTTGAATTATTAAAGTTTAGGGCAATTAAAAAAAAAGATAAACTAGTCCTAAAATTAAAAAACAACAGAACTATAGAGAAGCAGTTGACAGCTTATCAGTATTTCTAAGGATGGTAAAAGGGATAAAGAGATTTGCGCTAAGAAGGCACAGCAGGGTTAGAACAAAAATGGTTCTCTCACTTCAACACATAAACCCACAGCACATAAGATTAGAAAGAAAGTATCCTCACGTATTCAAATGGGTACATGAGGCACTGGAAGGTCTGGTCATTAAAATAACATTTATTATCACTAACATTTATTATCTAGTAATGGCAGAAGCCTGCTTAAGGAGAAACTGAGATATTTGAAAATATATTCTTTGTCTCAAAATTAAGATTTAAGGGAGGAAGAGAAGAAAAGGCAGACATACAGGGGAAAAGTAAGTACAGCTCAAACAAAAAGGTATTTGATACCCATTAAGTGACAACAAGCCTATCTGCAATATAGAACTCTACTTCCATTTCAACACATTTCCTTAAACTTTAATTGATTCCTTAAAATAAGCAGTAGTAATTTATTATAGATTTCATTATGTGAATATACTCACATCTAGTAATCTTTACATTATAAAATTATTTTAAATGCTTAAGAAATAAAACTTACCGCTTCATTTTCTCTATGTGGATTCAGCTTACTATAAACAGCTTCAATAATATTGCGCCTAAAAATAAATTACAATTTAATTTTATTAAATTACAATGATTAAGCTTTGAGTGTTTAAAATACGTTATTTTGCCCTAGGTGGCGTGATTCAGTGGATAGAGCGCCGGCCTGCAGACTGAAGGATCGCAGGTTCGATTCCAATCAAGGGCATATGCCTAGGGCTTGATCCTTACTCAGTAGGGGGCGTGCAGGAGGCAGTAGATCAATGATTCTCTCTCATCATTGATGTTCTCTCTCTCCCCCTTCCTCTCTGAAAAAAAAAAAAAAAAAAAAAAAAAATATATATATATATATATATATATATATATTTAAAAATAAATAAATACGTTAACTATGTAACTAAAAAATTGACACACAAAACACTTGCTAAGGACAGTTTCTAGAATTCACTCAGAATTTGATCCAATACAATATACTGTGTTCTCAATTACCAAGGAAAGAAGGACCTTCATCCTCAGAGTACGATGTCTTTACAAATCTCTTTTGGATAAAATTTTAGTTCTTTTCTAGTATAAGAACTATAAGAACTATCAATCCATTTCATCTTACTCAAAATTATTTAATTAGTAATTATAAAGAAACACAAAATTAGTTCTTTTTATTCTACTTACTTGCCAGCAAGACCTCCCCCAGGAGGCAAATTTGGGATATTTTCTGCAGACAAGATGCGAATGACCTGGGCAAGATCAGGCATTTCATCCTCACGAAACTTCTCCATAATTTCTGTAAATTTAAAAAAAAAAAAAAAAAAAAGTTCTTAAATTAATGTAGTATTCACACAGAATTTAAACAAGGTAGTATTTGGTAGTATCTTTGTAAAATATAAAAACAAGCATTATCTGCTATCACACAAAAACAAAAATAAGTAATATAAAAAGTTATTTGTATATATATGCTCATTCTAGCATTATTCATAAACACAAAAACTGGAACAAATTAATTGTCCAACAATAAGGGGAAATTTTTGGTATAGCTAGCCACTAGTGAAATGCTTTATAATCCCTAAAAATTATCCCTATGAACATAGTACAACTACTTGGAAAAAATACTTTTCATCTAATTTTACATAAAAATGAAATTATTAATACTATAATTATAGAAATATAAAAGCAATATATGGATAAAAATTAAAGGAAAGGAACAAATTTCAAACTGTCCTATAGGCTTTTTTATTTTAATCCTCACCAGAGGATATTTTTCCATTGTTTTTAAAATATATTTTATTGATTTTTCACAGAGAGGAAGAGAGAGGGATAGAGAGTTAGAAACATCGATGAGAGAGAATCATAGATCAGCTGCCTCTTGCACACCCCCAACTGGGGATGCACCCGCAACCAAGGTACATGCCCTTGACCGGAATTGAACCAGGCACCTTTCAGTCCCCAGGCCAACGCTCTATCTACTGAGCCAAACCGGTCCGACTTCCATTGTTTTTTAAAAAGCGTGGAAGAGAGGGGGAAAGATAGAAATATCGATGTAAGAGAAACACTTTGATTGGTTACCTCCTGCATGCCCCCTATCAGGGCCACAGCCAGGGAGGAGCCTGCTACTGAAGTGCATGCCCTTGACTGGAATTGAACCCGGTACCATTTGATCTGCAGGTCAACGCTCTATCCATTCAGCCAAAACAGTTGGGGTACCTTATCGGTTTTCTAATACCTTGAGTATGTCCACGATTTATTTAAAATAAAGGAGCCCTGGCCAGTGTGGCTCAGTTGGTTGGGCGTTGTCTGGTGCACAGAAGGCTGCTGATTCAATTCCCAGTCAGGCACATGCCTGGGTTGCAGGCTCGATCCCTGGTAGGGGGCATGTAGGAGGCAGCTGATCAATGTTTCTCATATTGATGTTTCTCTCCCTTCCTCTCTAAATATCAATAATAAAGGAATGAATATAAGAGTATAAATTACAGAACTGCTAATGCTTAGAACAAAAATTAAACATTTACATGGTCCATTTATATTTATAATTTATGGAAAACAGATTTTTAAAACATAAAGTCCATCAAGAAATCCGTAAAAGAATGTAGTTTTCCTAAAAGTAATTACACATTTGAAGATTCTCATCAATAATAAGCCAAATTCAATAAGCCTATTATGTCATAATCATCATCATTCAGATGTATTACTATTTTTTAAGTAAGTCAAGCCATAAAAGTGCTGGAAGAAAATATGTAATTAAATTGAAGAAAGAACTTCATAAGAATGACATCAAGGCAAAAAAAATATGATTGACACAACTTCATAAAAGGTAATTTTATATCTTAAAAAAACTACACAAACAGTTCTGGCCAGGTAGATCAGTTGGTTAGAGTGCCGTCCTGATACGCCAAAGTGGCAGGTTCAATACATGGGTCAGGGTACATACAAGAATCAACCAATAAATTCATAAGTAAGTGGAACAAATCAATGTTTCTCTTTCCCTCCTTTCTTCCGCTTTCTAAAATCAAAAAAAAAAAAAAAAAAAAAGGACAAAACCCCAAAACATATAAAATCAAAATGCAGTATTAAGTTAGGAACCTGTGATTATCTCTAATGCATTCTCAAGTTATCAGGGTAACCACTAATTGCATTTTTAAAGATTCTTTTAAAGTTGATTTTGAGAGAGAGAGGAAGGTTGAATGAGAAAGAGAAAGAAAGATCCATTGTCTGGCTGCCTCTTGCATGCCCCTGACTGGGGATAGAGCCCACAACCTGGATATGTGCCCTGATCCAGAATCAATAGGCAATCCTTCAGCTCACAGGATGATGCCCAACCAACTGGCCAGGGCTTATTAAATTTTTAAAAGAATGTACAACCAATAAGCAAATTGTAAGAATGAACTAGAATAGAAAATTAATCCAAAAGTCAAGGAAGAATAAAAAACAGATGGAATATATGGAAACAAATAAGATGGCAGATTTAAACACACATATCAGCAATTATATTCAAGCTTCCCATCCCCCACCCTGCCCCATTCCTGAATAGTAATAGGTTTTTAGCCCAAAAAAACATTAGGAAAGGCCAAGCAAGGTAAGTCTTACAGGGATGGAGGTGACAGTGGTGACAGCAGCAAGGTCCAACCAACATGGGCTTTTCAAGCCTGACCACAATAGGCAAAACTTTATCACTGGTTGGGTACTACCTGGAATGGGGTTCAAAGCCAATATGGAGTGAGGAAAGTGTCTAAACAAGGCCCAGGTTGGGACTTGTAGGAGGCAGGAGGCAACCAATCAATGTGTCTCTCTGATATCAATGTTTTTCGCTCCCTCCCTTCCACTCTTTATAAAAATCAATGGACAAACCACCTCAGATGAGGACTGACAAAAAGGTAGGTAAAAATTTAAGAAGGAAAATGTTAACATCTCAAGCACCTTCCTATTGAATACATATTTGTAGAGGGCCAAATGGGAAGACACCTGGACATTCTTAAGATTGTTGTTGACTGGGTCTGGGATATTGACAGAATCATGTCAGTTGCACTCCTGCCCTGAGAGTGCAGAGATGTTCTTAGTTCCTGGCTTGTGTTTGTTCAGGACGAAGGAGTGGGTGGAACCTGGGCTCTCCCAGGCTCCTTGTTTTCCTGTGAAACCTCTTGTTGGATTGGAGTGTAAATAGATGTGCTGCCTGGCTTAGGAGGTTGTCAGTCTGTCTCTCCAGCAGAGGAGGTCAGCGGCCCTCCCAGCTCCCAGCTTGAAATCTATTTCTATATCCTCTCTCTTTATTTCTAATATTTCTCAATCCCTGGGCACCTCCACTTAGAACCGGTTCGTTCATCTCCCTTTCCATGCGGGACATGGAAAAGGGAGATCCCTGCAGCCTCAGGCCCCCGCACTTATTAATATTAATAAGCATAACGTAACTTTTCAATGGAGGAACCCAAAGACAACATCTCAAGCAAGTGATGAAAGTTAAGATTACCATATCATGATGCATTTAGCTTCACTTCTATAGTATTTCTGTCAAAGTACAACCTGAATCTTATCAAGAAGTAACATCAGCCAATCCAAATAGAGGGACATTCTAGAAAGAACTAACCTGTACTCTTGAAAATATCATGGTCATTAAAAACAATAAAAACAAAATGCAACTTTTTCACATGGAGAAAGACTAAAACAGCTCAGCAGAAAAGCACAACACACGTTCTAGACTAGATCCAATGAAAGGCATTACTGGTACAACTAGGGCAATTTTAATAGGAATCTACAGAATAGATTGTAATATAATTTCAATGTTAACTTCCTAATTTTGATGTATGTACTATGGTTAGATACTGTTCCTTTTTGTATTAAAAAGTAGAAAGTTAATATTATCTTCAATTACTCTAAAATGGTTCAGAAAATAATCTGTCAGAAAATAATTCAATCAATTAGGGGAGATAAGGAGGTAAAGCGAGAATGAGTGTACACTATAGGAAGTATAGCAAGAGATGAGTAAAAGGAGGTATAATGTAAACAAATGGGTAATCTAGATAAAAGCTACTACATGTACATGGGAGCTCTATATTTTTGCAACTTTTCTGTAAGTTTAAAATTACTGCAAAATAAAAAGGTAAAAAATAAAATTAATAATCTTGCACAATATCAGTATTAACTCTATCAGTATGATTGAAACATATGGTAATGAATTCCTATAATTAACTTCAGAATAAGTAAGATGTTAATGGAATTATAGCTAAACTGAATTATAATGGACTCAGTTCATGATAACCTGAGGCCAATCACATTGGATTCTTCACTTATTACCAAAAATGTAATCAGGGAAAGCAAAAATAGTAAGCTTTAACAGACTCTTTTCAAATTATGTTTTTCTCTGGTGGTATATAATACACACATTTGTTTTCTTTATGCCAAGAAATCCCACACATTGGTTCATGATGTGATAATAAATCTTAGATGGAAATGTTTTAAAAAGCTATTTGATAAACAAGGAAGTATTTTTTTTCCTTTCCTTCTAAATTAAAAAAACGAACAAAAAAGCATTTTTCTTACCTTCAACCCGTGATTCCAAGTACTTATCCAACTCTGCATCTTTTCTCACTGCTTCATCTGAGACCTTGGGGGCATTTGGAAAGCAAACTAGTACAATACTCATGTTATCGCGACTTCCCTATATATTAAAGAAAAAGAAATAATTATTTTTATAGTCTACCAACTTTCTATTTACTTCAAAGTAGAGTTAAGTAATCACAGCTTATTCATCCAGAATGTACACATTTAACACATTTTTTTTCATTCCAAAGAACTATTTGAAGCACTCCTTTTTCTATTCACCACTCTAAAAACATTAAGTCAATGTAGGCAGTAGGCTATTTCTGTTTGATAGTGGGGCGTGTTAACCCAAATGAAAAAAGCCAAGGTCATACTAATTCCAGTCTTTTCAGTCATTATGACATGAATCTAGGCAGGCATTGTTTGGTTCAGACTTTCCACCTTTTTAGAACCCAAACAAAACAGAAGAAAAGACATACAGGCCTTGAAAAACTTTTGCCATCAACTCCTAATACTCAATGGAGCAAAGTTTGAAAGGGGAGGTCAGGTCTTGAGAAGACTTCAAAAAATGTAAACCTGCTGGTGTGGCTGTTTGAACATCAACTTATGAACCAGGACTTGATTCCCAGTCAGGGCACATGCCCCAGTTGGGAGCTTGATCCCCAGTAGGGGGGGGGGGGAGTATTAGGGAAGGGGGAGAGCGAGGAAAGGGGGTGCAGGAGGCAGCCAATCAATGAATCTCAACACTGATATATATCTCTCTCTCTCTGTCCTTCTTCCTCTCCCTCCCTCCTCCCTTCCTCTCTGAAATTAGTAAAAACATACTTTAAAAAAGTAAACTCTCTCCATATACTTTCATGCTTTAGTAGGAAGAAATTATCCTAAGTATATTACCAGCTTTTCAGTATCTGCAAGTGGAAGCGTTGGTGGGGGTGGGGGGTGAATCAGGATTTCCAAAATGGCCAAAACTACTTTCATTCCTTAATGAAAACCCATCAACACTTTCATGATTAATATTAGAAATACTGCATTGGCTGTATTAATACAAACATATACACAATGATTTCAAATAGCAAAAAAAGAGAGAAAAAGTCAATATATTCTTTCACAAGAACCAAGATTTTACTATTTAAGTTCAGATCAGGTAAAACTTTATACCATAGATATTCAAGTCCAATATTCACTTGAATACTAATGATTTTTAAAGCAACTTTATGAATAAACAGAATACCTCATATTTTAGAAATCCCAGTTTCTTCTAACCATTTCTATTTTAGTAACAATAGTATGAGCATAGCTTAGCCATTTGTTATCTATCCATCTATATGTGTGTATAAAACTTAAAAATCTAATGTAAATTATTCATATAAATGCCATTATATAAATATAAGTAATTTACATTAGATTTTTAGGTTATAAAACATACATCAGATCTCATCAGTTGGAAAATTAACAGAAAAATAGTTTCAAGAAGTTTAAATATCCTAAGATATTTAAAGGAAATAATTTATATTTACACCTTCAACATGTAATTTCAATGATGCTGCTTCTATATCTACGTATCTACTTTCCTCTAACCACAAAGTGTAAGTGTGTTTCAGTAATTTTTATACAGCAATTAAAAAACCACCCTTGCATAAATAATTAGCTAATTTTCCAGCTGAAAAGGATATAAGTATTCATCCTATATTTATAGCTTCATACTGTAAAAAGGCAACCCTGAAAAATGATTATAAAAAACAATACTAATGCTACTTACTTTTCATGGTTGTGAAAATTAAATGAGTTTTTAAAAGTGCAGAGTTTAGAATAGCATTTGATTCATAAAAAGCAATCATTTATTGATACTATTGTGATTATGATGATTATCACAATCTCCCTAGATTTCAAGAGCTAACATATAAAAGTGCTAGTAAACTATTAGGACATAATGTGTTAGAAGTGCTAGAAAATATTGACACTTCATTTAAATCTATTATCAAGGAAACATCTACTTAAAAACTGGATCTGTTCCTACTTAGCAACCAACACCTACTGAGCAATTGCTAAGTGCTAAGCACAGGGCCAAATGCTTTCTATGGATTTAAAAATTTATATTCAATCTTTCAAAGTAAATTTAAAGCAATTATATTCTATTTTAATCACATTGTTTTATATTGCTAACCCTTAGTTTTACAATACAAACAAGTGAAGTGACAAAATTATGTAGGTAGAAAATAGGAATGGTTAAGAGGTTTACTTAACTCTATTAAGTAACAGAGAGTGGTTCATAAATCTGTATGTCTCAACAAAAACAGCTAACTAAACTTCTCAAAACTGATTTCGATTTGGAGCACAGTTTTATTTAAAGAAATATGATGAATCATGTATTCCAGCCTCTTGTCCCTATTACTATCACTTATGATTCATGAGATTCTAGAACCCTGGCTGGAATCTTTTAACACTACAAAAAGGCATATTTATCAGTTCAAACTAAAAGCTATGAAGTGAAATATGTCCCCAGAATCATTTAAACTCCACATTCAGAAAGGTGGAGTCAAAATTCCTGAAAACTAATATCCTTTCAATAAAAGGGAGAGTGCTGTTTATGTACAATACAAACTTCTTTCCTTCAAAGTACATCTCATTCTTGGTTATTCTAAAAAAAACACAAAACTACATGTCACTCATTCAACAGAATGCTATACAACCAGAAAAAAATGATTTAGGTCAATACTTATAAACATGGAGATCTCTCTACAATATATTATTAAATGAAAAAAAAAAAAAAAAAAAAAAAAAAAAAAAAAGTTGAGCCTGGCTGACATGGCTCACCTATGAACCAGGAAGTTCGATTCTGGTCAGGGCACATGCCCAAATTGTAAGCTGATCCCCAGTAGAGAGCATGCAGGAGGCGGCTGACCAGTAAAAAATATGCAACTCACACTTTTACTTGTTTTTATCTTACCTACTAGGGGGCTCAAAACTAAATTACAAACTTTACCTAGTCTAGGGTTATGGTGTATCTTCCAACATTTTATGTGGCTCTTGATCTTTTGTGTATCTAGTACAGAATTATACATCAAACTGCTTCATAATAAGTTTTCGGACAGCTATTGCCTATTCTGAGAATTTGAATTAAAGTCACGTTCTGGCCTGGTTGGTGTGGCTCAGTTCAGTGGCTGAGAGTTGATCCATGAATCAGGAGGTCACAGTTCAATTCTTAGGGCACATTATTAGGTTGTGGGCTAGATTCCCAATGGGGGGGGGGGGGCATGCAAGGGGCAGATGATCAATGATTTTCTCTCATCATTGATGTTTCTATTTTTCTCTCCCTCTCTTCCCTCTCCCTGAAATAAAAATATTTATTTTTTAAAAGTCACATTCTGTATAGATGCTCTGCCACGGAAACAAACCATAAAGTACTTAAATGACAACAAATACCACAGAAATTTATTCAACTTAATTTTCAAACTAGAAGGTTGAGGCAAATGAGGATGGCTTTACAAAAAAAAAAAAAAAAATCTGTCATATTTCTGCAGAAGAAAATAACTTAAAAATGTACAACCATAATAAAAATACTAAGTTTTTAAAATTTATGTTTGCTTGGTTTTACTTACCATGTTTTTTTTCAAAATTAATAGGGTATTTTAATTATAACAAAAAGATTTACATACCTTATGTAAACAAGTGTCCACTACCCAATTGCAAACATTTTCCAGGTCATCAGATATCTCAAGCCTAGATTTAACATAATCACAGAGCTCCTCGTTACTCATAACATCCCAGATCCCATCACAAGCCAAAACGATAAATTCATCATCTTCTCCTCTTAAAAGTTCATAAACCTCAGGCTCTGGAGAAACTAGTTGTTCTGTTGGGCCCTTGCCATCAACACACTTGTAATCATAGTCCCCCAAAGCACGAGACACTGCTAATGAACCATTAACACGCTGTATCATTACGCTGCCTCCTGCGTTTTGGATACGCTCCTTCTCCCTTGGATTGGAAGGCTTGTGATCCTGGGTGGAAAAGCAGACTTGTCCATTCCTACACAGAACAGCACGTGAATCACCACAGTTGATAAAGTAGACATGCTTCGGTGAAATCATAACTCCCACTGCAGTTGAACCACTCCTGTCCATTCCATTTCTGAGGTCTGAAAAGTTACGCATGAATTCATCAATTTTCAAAAAGCCAGTTCTGATACCATTCTTGACACTTTCCACTGTAGGCTCATGAGAAAATCCTGATTTTGCAGCTGCCTTGAAGTCTTCATTATTAGTGATGTGTTCTAATAAATGTGTTGAGCAGTAATTTGCCACTCGGGATCCAGCATGACCATCATAAACTGCAAAAAATGACCAGTCTTCCAAGCCGTGAGGAATACCTACAACAGCTGTGTGTGCATCTTCCATTTCCACTCTCCATCCTTGCATGCTGCTCAGGCCATAACGTAAACCATTCCCAGCACCATGAGCATTATGTTTCTCAGTTTTGGGTTTATCCAAAAATGCACCCATGTTTAATAATCTGAAAGAAAAATTTTATAGGTGTTATATATTTAAATCTGACACAGAATTCACCTATACTAGCTCATTTATTCTCTAGTAACTCCTATCCAAGTATATTTTTTAGATTTATCTGAATTTACTAAACAGAAAAAACACCACACACACAAAACAAGAAAATTTCCCTGCACATCCTTTTTCTACAACAATGGTTTCAAAATACTAGCACATTACAATCATCAAATCAATTAAATCAGAATCTCTGGGGATGGGACTCATATCAGTAATTTTTTAAAGCATCTCTGGTGCTTCATATGTGCAGCAAGTTGAGAACCACAGTTATAGGAGAAAGGAAAACCAAGAAACAAAACCTGGTTAAAGTTTTTTTTTATCATTCAACTTATACAATAACTCTAAGGTTCAATAATATAGACAAGAAATAAAAAGTAATCCTCTCTTGATCAGATAAGGAAGAACGGGAAGTTTGGGTGTGTGTTTGGAGTACTGGGGTGAAAGTGGTAAATCTCATCTCCGGTAATGAGATAAATAATTCCTAAAAATGGGGGAGGGGGGTGATCAAGAAGCACATGATTTAGAGATTTAAAGATAAACTCCAAAGAAATCAGGAACTAAGATTTAGAAATGTTGGTTCTGGCGAATCTCCATGAACAGGGCCTTCGAGAACTATGTTGTTCTTTAAACTATGTCAATGGTTATTTTAATTTAAAAAGTTAAAGAAGCCAAAAGTAAAACAATAGCACATTACTTGGTAAGATTTAAGGAATTGCATTTCTAATCATAAACTAATCTCCCTAATATAAAGGTCCTATAAATAAGTAAGAAAATGACCAAGGTGATAGAAAAATGGACCAGGGACACCCCCCACAAATGGATCTTAAAATATGTCCAACCTCATATTCATAAAAGAAATGAAAAGAATACACTGAGGTATCAATTTCATGGGTCAAACTGGCAAAGATCAAAGGTTTGGTAATCATTTTCTCCACAGGATTATGCAGAAATACACACTGCTGATATTATTAAACTGGTACAATCTCAGTAAAAGGAAATTTCATAAAATCTATCCAAAATTGCAATTGTACATATTCTTCAACCAAATTCTATGAACCTATAGGTTTACTCCTATATATACAAATATTCACTGCAGCACTGTTAGAAAAAGTAAAGTATATAAAACTATCTTAGCAAGCGAAGTCAGTTGGAGAAAAATAAATATCACATGATTTCACTCATTTGTGGAATGAACAACAAAAATGAACAAAAAGAGCCAAAGGGGGAAAAAATATTTTAGATTATAACAGAAGTAATCCTGGTATTTGCAGATTTTTTTATATATATGTATATTTTTTATAATATATACAATGCTTTTGTTGTCATTTTTTAAGTATATATATTTTGTATTGATTTTTCAGAGAGGAAGAGAGAGGGATAGAGAATTAGAAACATCGATGAGAGAGAATCATCGATCAGCTGCCTCTTGCACACCCCCTACAGGGGATGTGCCCGCAACCAAGGTACATGCCCTTGCCCGGAATCAAACCCAGGACCTTTCAATCCGCAGGCCAATGCTCTATCCACTGAGCCAATCCAGTCCCGGCTATTTGCAGATTTTTAATATTTCCTACAACTTTTGTGATTTTATACTATGTGAGTACAGTTTTGGAAATATTATTTAAAATATTTTTCTTCAAGTATTAATGCTTATTGAATGTAAATGTATAATTATTTTGTATCTACAATCTTGAAATAAATTTATTTTGTATATTGTAAAAATAAATAAGTAAATAAATAAACCATCTTACTATCACCCATTTGGGAACTGATTAATAGGAGAATCAAGATTCATATTTAATGATAGGTAAAACATAATTGCCTACAAAAAAAAAAAAATATATATATATATATATATACACACACACACACGTGTGTTTGTGTGTGTGAGCAAGCACACAAATATAAATATTCATTTTCTAGAAGCACCAGAGATGCTTTAAAAAATAAACTGGAACCTCTGGAGAAGATAAATCAAGAGGTTGGGAGACAGAAGTAAAAGAAATACTCTCTATTATACACTAGAGACCCGGAGCACGAAATTTGTGCAATGGCTTTGGCCTGGCCCTGCCCCTGCCCCGCCATGGCAGTGGGCCTCTGCTGCTCCCCTGCCTGCTGTGGCTTTGTCTGGAAGAAAGGACATCCAGAAGAAGGTCTGTTCTAATTAGCATATTACGCTTTTATTATTATAGATATACCTTTTCCACTTTAAACATTCAACTGTAATAAAAACTACTTAAATTGAATGCCATTTAATAAATGTTATTTCAAACTAGGAATATTCCTTAAGAGTGAGTCCTATAATCAATAAGGATGTAAAATAAATGTCAATATATTTGATACCCAAAGTTTTTTTTTCCCTTTGCAAACAAAGAAACAATTACCTACTTTGACACAATGGACCATTAAGACCCACCAGCAGATATATCCATTTGAATGCATTGTCATTTCCTTGAGGAACCACTACAAAAATGAAGTCTAATAGCAATTTAAAAATATTGACTCTCTGTCAATGATTACTGAAATATGGTGATAGGCGCATGAGAGATCAGAATCTATTATCATTTCAACATTTATGTACATGTGAAATTCTCCCTAACCAGAATTAAAAAAAAAAATTTTAGTGCTGTCTTTCTAGGTTTTGCCAAAATTAGGCATCCTGAACAACCATACTTGGATATTTTTTTATGGGAATAAAATTTAAATTGCAGGACAAATACGAGAAATAACTGCCTAAACAATTTTGATCTCTCTTTATTCCTTCACATAAGTACAAATGACAGATACTATGACTACAGATATCTTTAGTTGCTTGAATCCATCTCTATAGTACAATGGCAACAGACTGCCAAGAGATTTGATCAGAAAGCAAGCCCCTTCAGGGACAACCAGGTGACTATCTGAGAGGGCTAAGGGTCCTCTTACCTCTTATTTCAATTAATATTTGCTCCAGAGGCTTGTTATAAGTAACCAAAATATGCTTTTATATTGTTTGAGGGACCTAGAAATAAGCAAATACTTCCATAGTGCTCATTCTGCAACAGGCACTGCTTAAATGCTTCACAAATTAACTCATTTAAATTATATCCTTTAGAAAAACTAGTATCAATAAAGCAAACAATTCTCAAAGAAATATCCAGCCAAAAATCTTTACAAAGTAAATTATTAAAATTTCAACAAAGGACATTTAGATTCTACAAAATTCCCATTCTCCTTTCTACAGTTTGCATACTCTCCTAAAGGAGCCACGTTGACATTGGGCAAGCCTTGCTTAAAAAGAGCACAATCTGTCAATCCCATCTGCTTCCTATCAAAAAGGATGAAGTGGTGTCAGGGATGATTTAGGCTCATGGTCGGCAAACTGCAGCTCACGAGCCACATGCGGCTCTTTGGCCCCTGGAGTGTGGCTCTTCCACAAAATATCATGGCCTGGGCAAGTCTATTTTGAAGAAGTGGTGTTAGAAGAAATTTTAAAAATTTGGCTCTCAAAAGAAATTTTAATTGTTGTACTGTTGATATTTGGCTCTGTTGATTAATGAGTTTGCTGACCACTGATTTAGGCCTATGGACAACATTTTTTCCTAAGGGTTTCTGTTCTTTTGACTAAAAAGTAACACATCCTATCTAATAAAAGAGTAATATGCAAATCAACCGTCACTCCATCACAAAGATGATGCCAATAGCCACAAGATGGCGGTGCCCAGTCCTCTCAGTCCTGCCAGAGTCCCCCAGTCCTGAGGAGGTGTGTGTGGGGGGGTGCCAGCCACTGAGAGCGGGCAGCATGAGCAGCCTGGTGGAATGCTTGCTTTGTTGCCGTGGAGACGAGGTAAGTGTTCCACCTCTGCCATGGAGGGCCTCTGGCCAGGCCGGGGTGCGGATGGGCCTCTGGGCTGCAGAGAGCCTCTAGGCAGCAGGAGCAGAGCAGCCAGGTCCCACAAAAAGTTACTGGCGCACGGATTCATGCGCAGGGTTACTAGTATAGCAGTAATAATAATGTTTAGGGCTTTTTTTTGTATGAGCTCTGTAAGCCAGGCTTTATATTAAGAGATTGATGTTCACTATGTCATTTACAACAAACGATAATTTAGTAAAGTTAGTATTATGAATATTCTTATTTTATAATTGGGAAAACTGAAATACCTAGTGTACCTAAATAACAAAATTTATGTAGCAAGTCAGAATTCAAACAAAAGCAATAGCCTAGAACTGGCATTCTCATCTCAAGGCTTAAGTGATTAATGCATTTTAAAGCGATTTTTATTATTTTTAAAAATCAAAATAGTGATCTATAAATTTTTAGAGACTCAAAAAGCAAGGTTACTAAATGTAATGTGGTACCCAGATTGGACCCCAGCACAGAAAAAGAGAATAGAAAAACTGGTAAAATCCAAATAGAGTCTGGAGTTTGGTTAAGAGAATAGTACAAATGCTGGTTTCTTAATTTAGACCAATACACCATAGTAATATAAGAAAACCAGTTTATAGGGGTCCTAGCCTATGACTTTCTATACATCTAAAACTATTTCAAAATTAAAAGTTTATTTAAAAAATTAAAGTAACATGCAAGCCTCAGATAGGTAGAACTTTATACAAACCAAGCTGGTGCAGGATTATCAACTGGCTATGGAAAACCTCTCTACCTGTGATTTTGCCAATCCCAGCTCGGAAATGCATTCTAAAAATACCAAGATTATATAATAATTAGAACTCTGACCCAATATTCTACTTCTGAGAAGTTATTCTAAATAAACCAAACTGTACATAAATATTGATTTTAAAAGATTAAATAATAAATTCATTAAACAAACAGCCTATTTTTAAAATTTTTATAACAAAACAGAAATAGAAAAATGGTTATATAATTGGAAATCAGTAATGAAAAATTCACCATAAAAGATCAAAAGAGAAAAATCTTTGTGCATAATGATATTCATTAGAGT